GAACACAGTAATTTCAAAATTTTCCTACGCACACGCAGGATCATGGTGATGCATAGCAACGAGAGGGGAGAGTGTCGTCCACGTACCCTCGTAGGCCGTTAAGTGGAAGCGTTATGACAACGCGGTTGATGTAGTCGTACGTCTTCACGATCGACCGATTCTCGGTACCGAACGTATGGCACCTCCGCGTTCAGCACACGTTCATCTCGGTGACGTCTCGCAAACTCATGATACAGTAGAGCTTGGGGAAGAGTTTCGTCAGCATGACGGCATGGTGACGATGTTGATGAAGCTACCGTGGCAGGGCTTCGCCTAAGCACCGCTACAGTATGACCGAGGTGGATTATGGTGGAGGGGGGCACCGCACACGGCTAGGAAAGATCTTTCTGATCAACTTGTATGTCTAGAGGTGCCCCCTGCCCCTGTATATAAAGGAGCAAGGGGGAGGCCGGCCGACCCTTGTTGGTGCACCGGGAGGAGGAATCCTCCTCCTAGTAGGAGTAGGATCCCCCTCTTTCCTACTCCTACTAGGAGGGGGAAAGGAAGGGAGAGAAAGAGAAGGAAAAGGGGGCGCCCCCCCTCTCCTAGTCCAATTCAGACCAGAGGGGAGGGGGCGCGCTGCCTGCCCTAGGCCGGCCCCTCTCTCTTTCCCTTATGTCCCAACAAGGCCCATTAGCCCCCGGGGGGTTCCGGTAACCCCTCCGGTACTCCGGTAAAATCCCGATTTTACCCGGAACTCTTCCGATGTCCAAATGTAGGATTCCAATATATCAATCTTCATGTCTCGACCATTTCGAGACTCCTCATCATGTCCGCGGTCATATCCGGGACTCCGAAATTCCTTCAGTACATCAAAACATATAAACTCATAAAACCGATCGTCACAGAACTTTAAGCGTGCGGACCCTACGGGTTCGAGAACTATGTAGACATGACCGAGACATGTCTCCGGTCAATAACCAATAGCGGAACCTGGATGCTCATATTGGTTCCTACATATTCTACGAAGATCTTTATCGGTCAAACCGCATAACACTATACATTGTTCTCTTTGTCATCGGTATGTTACTTGCCCGACATTCGATCGTCGGTATCCCAATACCTAGTTCAATCTCGTTACTGGCAAGTCTCTTTACTCGTTTCGTAATGCACTATCCCGCAACTAACTCATTAGTTGCATTGTTTACAAGGCTTATAGTGATGTGCATTACCGAGAGGGCCCAGAGATACCTCTCCGACAATCGGAGTGACAAATCCTAATCTTGACCTATGCCAACTCAACAAGTACCATCGTAGACACCTGTAGAGCACCTTTATAATCACCCAGTTACGTTGTGATGTTTGGTAGCACATAAAGTGTTCCTCCGGTATTTGGGAGTTGCATAATCTCATAGTCATAAGAACATGTATAAGTCATGAAGAAAGCAATAGCAGTAAACAAAAATGATCAAGTTCTAAGCTAACAGAATGGGTCAAGCCAATCACATCATTCTCCTAATGATGTGATCCCATTGATCAAATAACAACTCATGTCTATGGTTAGGAAACTTAACCATCTTTGATCAATGAGCTAGTCAAGTAGAGGCATACTAGTGACACTATGTTTGTCTATGTATTCACACATGTATTATGTTTCCGGTTAATACAATTCTAGCATGAATAATAAACATTTATCATGAAATAAGGAAATAAATAATAACTTTATTATTGCCTCTAGGGCATATTTCCTTCAACAACCTGTAAGTGACGAGATATGGAGCAAGCCCAATGAGGAAGCAAATTTAAGTGTGTATATGGAAGAAAATTGCAGCAGGTTTAAGGGTAGAAACCACATGTTATTGCTGAAGGTGTCGAACCATCTAATGATAATCTAGGTGCTATAGATGATTCACTAGAGTTACCGATTGACTTGAGGAAGGAAGCTCGGGCTAATGTTGGAAAGCCCCTGGAAAGGTATGGATTTGAGAACGATATAAGTAATTATGTTTTCTATATATCTATGTCTCCCGCATACAGAGCTTTTGTTGCATCGCTACAATCAGTGGCCATCCCAAAAGTACTGTAAGGAATCAAAGCAAGATCCTAAGTGGTATGGAGCCCTAATGGAGGAACTGAATTCTCTTGACAAGAATAAGACATGGGAACTTGTACACGTTCCAGCAGGAAAGAAGGTTGTGAGTTGCAAGTGGGTCTACACGGTAAAGCAAAATCCAAAAGGGAAAATTGAGCGATATAAGGCAAGACTTGTTGCTGGGAATATAGTCAAACATATGGTATTGACTATGACGACACATTTGCACCAGTGGGAAAAATGAGTACAGTGAGGACTCTAATTTCTTGTGCAACTAACTTTGGATAGCCTCTCCATCAACTTGATGTTGAGAACGCATTCCTGCATGGTGATCTACAAGAGGAGGTATATATGGAAATTCCACCTGGTTTCTCCACTCCTAAAACAAGAGGAAAGTATGTAGGTTGAGGAAGTCTGTTTATGGTCTGAAGAAATCTCCCAGGCATGGTTTGCTAGGTTCAGGCATGCTTTTTGTCATATGGGATATAGAAAATGCAATGGAGACCACACTGTACTTTATAGACACTTGGGGTGTCGTACAATCCTTGCAGTATATGTGGATGATATTATAATCATAGGAGATGATGAGGTGGAGATATCACGATTGAAAGGAAGTTTGAGCAAGGAGTTTGAAGTCAAAGATCTGGGCCAGCTTAGGTACTTTCTTGGCATAGAAATTGCGAGGTCTTCCAAGGGGATAGTTCTATCGCAACGAAAGTATACCTTGGATTTGCTAGATGATACAGGTATGCTCGGGTGTCGAGTTGCATCCACACCCATTGATCAAAATCACAAGTTATGTGCTCGGGGAATCCATGGACAAGGAGAAGTATCAAAATCTTGTTGGAAGACTCCTCTACCTATGTCATACGAGACCAGATATCTCATATAGTTAGTGTGGTGGGCCGATACATGCATGATCCCAGGAGTGGATGTTTGACTGTTATATATCGGATCTTCCAATATCTCAAGGGTAGTCCAGGGAAAGGACTATGGTTCAAGAAGAATGGCCATCTGAATGTAGATGGTTGTAGTGATGTGGATTGGGCTAGTTGCCTTGATGACAGAAGATCAACCTCTGGCTATTGTGTATTTGTTGGAGCGAACTTGGGGTCATGGCGGAGCAAAAAGCAGCAGGTAGTGTCAAGGTCGACAGCTGGAGCAGAGTATATAGCTATGTCACATGGGCTTAGTGAGATGTTCTGGGTGAGAAACCTCTTATTAGAACTAAAGGTTTTAAGAAATGGCCCTCTAAATGTATGGTGTGTTAACAAATCAGTGTTAGTGTCGCTAACAACCCAATCCAACATGACAGAACCAAACATGTGGAGATAGATTGTTTCTTCATCACGGAGAAGGTGCATGATGACACAATCAAGACCAGTCACGTAAGCTCAAAAGAACAAGCTGTAGATTGTCTTACCAAAGGATTACGAGTTAGGAAGTGTGATTCAACATGTAGCAAGATGGGGACGATCGATATCTATCACCCAGCGTATTGGGTTGTGTTTGTGTGTGTTTGTGTGTGCTATGGCCAAAAGGGCCCATACCCGTAGCATATATCTATATGTATAGTAGCTGAGTAAGAGAATAAGGATTCTAGAGTTTTCTCCAACCCACTGCCTTTAATTTGATTACCTCCTAGTTCCATAATCTTCTTGATAATACTACTAGAGTTAGTGTTTAAAGAACTCTTTTTGACTTTGAGCATTTCGTAACCTTATATATCATTAGAAGAAAGTAGGTGAGGCAGACAACGCATATGTACCTCAAACGGACTATCGCAACTCGAGAGATGTTACATGTCCAGGACAAAATTAGTTAGGGTATTACTATTTACTTTTCAACAATAGTTAGGGTATTATTTAGATTGTGTCTAAAGTGTACCTTACAAATTTTTGGCAATGACTTCCAAATTTATCTTTGCTTGGATGGTCATCAACTTTTTGACATGTCAATGCTCTTTTACCAACTCATCATGGGAAACCAAAATTTTCCTTAGCCGATGTTTTGGTGGGGCAACCTTGGACATGAACCAAACACGCTCTTAGTGCGACAAAGTATGTCATGAAACCAAGGATGGTACCAACCTTCGAATGTCGAATTCATTTTTTTTAATGTAAATGTTGACAAGATGTATCTATAACTGCTAAAAGTTTCTTTTGTTTCTTTATGTGTATTTTGAATCGGATTTGAAAGATATTATAGACACAAGTATAATGTAAGCATTGACAATATTTTTGAGAACTTCCGAGTTTGAAATTCAAGAGTTAGTATCACGGTCTGATATGAGTGTTGGTATCATTGGATGTGTGCTCCACTTAGTGGCAATACCAGAGAATCCGCTGCCAACTATTTGACGGAAATTAGCTACTTTAATTCGTCCAATGAGCTTTTCGTGCCCTCTAATGAATTCTGAAACAGAACAACATGATGCTAGTACAGGGATATTATTACCAAAATCATGAAAGTATGAAACACAGCTAAATCAGGTTTAAGAAAATACGGAGTAAAAGGCTTATGATTCCTAGATTAATGGGTTTACTCCTGAGTTTGAAGGCTAGCTGCAATGATTTGTAATCTGAACGAACACATGAGAAGAGACTCCAGTATGGCACAACTCATATTAGTATCATTATATTTTGGGCACAACTACTCGGTGTTAGATTACATAGGGGTGGTACAACACGTGTTTCGCGAAAGCAAGCTTTGCGTATTCGTAAAAGAAAGGAGTTAGATTACATCATGGCATTCCCCAGCAAGGCAGGGGCTGTGTATGCATGAGCAAGCTTCACACAACAAAGAACTAGGCCACCCATGAACGACAAAAGGGCCCAGGTTAAAAACAAGCAAAAATTATGGATGATAAAAGCTCCCAAGGGAGAGAGGTAGCTGGTCCCTTAGTTCCCTTGGAACTGCATTCCATATGCTATCTTCTTACTTCCTTGAGTTCACGGCATGCTCGCGAGGCCCGACTTGCCGCAGTAACTGTATCATCATTGGCATGCATTAAATACAAGATAAGTAAAATGTTGTTTAACCACGAAAGATTTTCAAGGGAAAGGTGTCTAATGTACCTGAAAATATGACTCCAGCTTCTGCTTCAGAGTGGCATGCTCCCTCTTCATCTTCTGCAGTGACCTGCGGCATCTGAAGCACAACCATGGACACACTACAACAGGTGAGATGAGCAAATCGCCTGGCGACAAGAGATGAAAACAAAGCACGAGTGATGCAATACCCTTCCAGATTCCTGTCATTGCAGTGTGCCTTAAACACCGAGCACTCGTTCTTCATCCTCACTGCTCCAATGCTGCGCCAAACACAAGTCATCTTCAGTGAATTAGAACACATAAGGCAGGCAAAAGGTAAAGTTGTCGGTGATAGCCTTTCCATTTGCTAATAATATTCGTTCTCTCACACTAAGCACTCTTAAATCATGTATATACTGAATGGGTGATTCTGTGGTGATGAGACCCGCAATAAGATTATTCACACCGGGTGTTTTCTGAGCATATTCACAGGTCCTGTACCTGGATCCGCTGCCTTTGAGCTGGTGCACAAGAGAATCTAACCGGTAGAAATCCTGAGGGTACTTCCCACTGCATCAAAAGGAACTGGAAAGTGAATGCACTAAATATGATTCCATTTTTGGCAGATATGATATGTCTTGAAACCATTTGTATGGACTGTTCCACCAAAAAAAAAACGACAGTTATGGCCTGACTTACAGACGTATTGCTTACATTGTTTGTTCTATGTTTGACAACAATCTCGGCGAATCTTTCAGAAACAAAGCCACAACTTCCTCAACGAAATTGGGGCTTGATTCGTCCTGCAGTTCTTCCAGCTGATTGAACTGTTCATCAAGGTAACCCTGCAGGAATAGCCCAAAGTAGATTATTAGGCAAATCATAGAAGCCTGAAATACAACATATAATAAAATACCATTTGTGTGGTCCATGGCAGAAAAAAAGATTCTCGATTACATGGGTGAATCAAAATAATTAGTCAAATATCAAACAAAGTCCCAGCAAGTTGTTATAGGCTTCAACCTAGCTAAGTATAACAAACACCTTAATATTTGTCAAAAATCAAACTGAGTCAGCTACATCAAGGTGGTTTTAGGTGTCAACCTGGCTTAGGTATAAAGGGCACCCTAATATTTGCCTAGAAGATACTAATGTATCATCAAAATGATCCTACCTCTATGATTACTCTGTAAAGTTTGAACACCCCAACCTTTTGTATATTCTCAAAGGAATAGAACGAAGGAAATAAAGAGAGTGATTTTCTATTCGTATGGTCTATTACATCCTTGCCCATATATCTAATTTTAAACATCATGATGCATTCAGCAGGCGATGCGTTTGTGGAAAAAAAAAGAGTGCCATAACTATTGTGTGGGAAAATAGTATCCAAGTTGGCATTTGCCCCCATATTGTCCCATTAGACCAGATTACAAAGTGAATGAGTTATGCAGTTGCAATGAAGTAAAATTTTGAAACAGAATGAGTGAAGAATCCATTGAGTCCCACCACCAGAGAGAAACTCCATATATTTGAAAGAAAAAAATGCAGTAGATCAAAGTTTTCAGAGCCTCAGTGGATATGTCATGTGGAGATGTCCAAAGGTCATCATTCTATCAGAAGAAAATCACCACGAGAGTAATTCGGCTTACAAGTTATCCAGTCAAAACTTGCAGCTCTTGGGAGAAGAGCTTAACATGTGCAACACTGTAATTGATTATAAACCCAGATTTCAAATGAACAAAGGGGGAGCAAATAAACCTGATCAAAGAAACTTTTCTTCATGAAGGTAATTTGGCGACGCAAATTTGAGTAGTCCATAGTTGGCCTTATATGTCAGTACAAGCACACAGAGAGAACTGAGATGGCTGCAATGAGACATGCAAACCGAAGGAGGCCGTATATATAGAGGGAAACAGAATTTTATTTATGCATGCAAAATCTTTATTCTAATTGATAATGTCCTGTGAATAAAGCATAACAAAAAGACAAAGTACTTTTCTTTTTCATGAAACTGCTCAAATAAAAACCCAACTACAAATTCTGCAAGTTGATCTATGAGTTCTCTTTCATGTGGCTTGTGTGGTTTACACCCTAGACAGGAAAAGGATTTCAGAATATGATGACGCTGCACCGCAGAAATGCGCAGAAGTAAAGTGCCCTAGAACATGTTCCCAAATAAGCAAACCTAGAAATAAGATAAATAAACATTTCTAGATAGGATACAATTATAAATATCCAATTACACTGTTAATCTTTTACAAATAAAGAAACCACGTCTGCCACTGAAATTTACGAAATACCTTTACAAGATATTTGTCAGAGAGCAGGGATCCGGCAATTTGGCTAAATTAAAAGTTAATGAGGGAACGATGAACGTTTAATGCAAGGAGAACATATTCACTAAATAAAAAAATTCTACCTTTACAAGATATTTACTACTAAAGAATTTTGAAGGAATTTAAGTGACTATAAAATGACATCAACAGCTAAAATTCCCTGCGAATAAGAAACAGAAAGGACATTTATTCTTACATAACAAATAGCTGGGAGTACTAAACTCTGTGCAAACCTTCTAAAGATTGGTTCTTGACAAACTAAAACGTTACACTGTGTTGAAGATTGAAGCTGTTTACTATGTTACACAGAATGAATCTCCAGGGCGTAGTTTCTGTATCCTGAAAAAACGTATTTCCTACTACAGCTGAATTTTCTTGAAGCATAGAAATTTGTCAGCGTCAATGAGCTTAGAGCTACGACTCTCGAATGCTATGGATGATTGGATTGATTGGTACAGGTAGAATAGAAACAGGAACTTCCCACTACAAGAAAAGTGGGTGTGAATCAGACAATGATTGGAGAAACCTTTAAAAAATGTTTTTTCTGAATGAAAATTGGCTGTTACAAAGTCATTAGACAACTGTTACAGCCATTTATCTGAAAGACAGGAATAGTGGGGAACTAAAACATGCACAGACCCAACACATGGGGAAAGAAGGTAATACCCATTTCAACATCGGATGGGTTTTAAAATATGTAATACATACATGTGTATATATCTTGATGTCCAATCAATGAGAGCTGTACACTTCCTACAATTAAATAAGTTTGATTGTAAAAACAACTACAAGCATCTCAGATGCAAGAAAAAGATGTAAGATCGTTAAAGCTTGACAGCTCAGATAGATCCATCATCTGATGAACCACAGAAGCTCAACTATCGGCTCCTTTTCTCCACATCTCACATTCGTAAAACAATGTCAGGAAAGGCTAACAGCAAAGATTGGACGAAACAGGCATCCTACCAAAAAGGAAGAAGAGAAACAGTGTCATCACCATGCTTTCACACTGAAAGCAAATGGAAAAACTGGACGATAAAAAGGAAGATGCATGGTGGGCAGGAAATTCTCCCTTTATTCCACTTCATACAGAAAAGGATGGATAAACCTTTCCAGTAGCTACACCCATGGTTTTGGGGTTATACGAGTAGTTGTGTATTTGTTTGGTTCCATCCACTACTTTCGATAAGTGCTGAAAAGGAAGAGGAATAATGCATAATTGGAGCGGTGATAATGACTTGTTGGTATCTCTACAGGATAGTGATAAGAGAATCTTAACCTGGAACAGCATATTAAAACGACAGGTATTGGTTTAAATGGTTAGTGTCAGTAAAGTTCTTATCTTGGCGAATCATGACACAAGATGCATAGCAAACAATAGCCGCAGAGAACAAATCTGATCATAGAGCAAGAGGTGGCAAAACCATCACCTCACTACTCTAACAGTTGCAAGAATCGTTACACTGCTTTTCTGCATGTGCACCTTGCAATGCATATTCTAAAACAAGCCTATTGCCAATCACATAAAATTTGAAGCAAGGAGAGATGACATCTATGAGAAGAAGGGCACTAAGCAAAGCTTACATATAAAGCCAGAATTGGTGCGGGGTCATATTTCACATTTGTACTCCGCAGGATTGGATCCTGCACTAGAGAATTCTGTTACGAGTAACAAAATAAAAATCAACCAAGGAGCTCTTACACAAAAAAAAAAGGACAGACCCAGTGCATAGAAGCTCCCACACAAGGTGGGGTCTGGGGAGGGATTATAGGAACCTAGTCTTACCCCTGCAAAGTGCAATGCAGAGAGGCTGGTTCGAACCCAGGACCTCTTGGCACAAGTGGGGAGGACTTCACCACTGCGCCAGGCCTGCCCTCTACCAAGGAGCTCTTACACAAAGATGAAAAATTGTTCCAACTTCCAATGCATCTGTTCAGGCCCGTTGAATGGCAGATGTGATATATGCCAATATGAGCAACTGCTCAAGAGCTCATCTTAGATCAGGACCATTTGATTTTGTATGGAACCCGTTTTGTATTCATTGTTACCTGGCTAATTTCACTCTTTGGGTGTGAGGTTTACACGACCGTGTTGTCTTGGTGAACCCTCTTCTTTTCACTGAGTGTGGTAGCAAATGTGACATATGTCTTCTATAGATAGGAGAATATTAACTACTGAGAAAATAAAACCAACTCATTCCTTATAATTCATAAATTTGTCTCTCTGGCCAATTTACTTGTTTTCTAAGAACACGATTAAATTGTGCTGCTTTTCCATTATGTGTAGTTTTATGGACCGGTTTTAAATCTTCTATTGTGCAGGTAAGATACTAATGAATTTTCAAGCTATTAAAGACAATATACCCATCTAACTGTCATAATCTAAATTATTTGCCTGCTACACAGAAATATAGCAAGTAAGAAAGGAAGATCGCATGCTACAGGCAAAACATATTTTGAGATTATTAAAGGTAAGAGATATTGTGGGTGACATACATGCCTCTACTTCTCCATGACAAAGGCCACAAACTAGGATGCGATTAACTCTGAAGGATGTGCCGCCAATCAGGTAAGCCGTTCACTAACCCAGCTGGCCGAGTTTAGATTGACGCAGGCGTCTTCTGTTGATAGAATAAATATCCGGTGAAATCTCCACGGAAACCATGAGTTGAAGTTATAATAGTTTCTCAAAATAAATGGCATATGTAATATTGTACAAACTTGTAAAATTTCAACATCAAACTGAACCGCATTTGGAAAATATGAAAAAGATAAACAGCGACAGCAATAGCAGTTAAAAATAAGTATTCATTCTGAAACTGAATTTTACATATCACCCAAATGATATTGAGCTCAATCTTCAAATATTAGAGGTTCATAGGACATTACCTCCTCTACATATGATATTTTCTGGAGAGCAAAAAACTTAACATAAATCAATGTAATATAAGGTTTGTTGGCTACTGGAGGCCAATGAGGTGATGACTTGGTGGAACTAGAATGTTGGTGATATAAGGGCAGTGGTGCTGCTGAAAGAATATATTTGTAACTTTTTTCCAGTGTGGGACAACATCAGCGAAGGCCCTGAATTTAGATTCGTCATGTTTCCATGGTTCCCTGAACTTGGCTTCTGCCAGATATAAAGCTGGTAGCTGATTAAAAAATTATGGTTCACCAAGAGAAGTGTAAACATAAGCTGCTCCTTGACACCTAGTGATGGTATTATTTGTGGCAAGTCCCAGAACAGAGGGATCAGGGATCATAGAACAGAACCCACTTTACAAGACACAAATCAAAATGCATTAATAATCGGTAGGAAGAGCTTGCCGTGTCAAAAATCAGCAGCAAGACAACCATGAATACCTTACCATTTCAGGAACCATGTCGGGCCAGCTCAACTGTCACTCCGTTCTGATTTTTTGTCTCCTGATAGAGAACGCTGACCATGGTTGACTGACCTGCTGTCCTCAACACAGTGAAGTTGTGAGTTACTGGCCTGGAATATATCCAGATTGAACTTATCAAAAATTTGAATTAACTTCTAGTGCTCTTAAGTGATTTCATTTGCGCTGGTTATTTATGATATCTGAGCACTTATTTAAGTGATTTCATTTGGGCTTTAGTTGGTTTGGGTACTCCTGGAACACACAATTTTATTACTAAACAACATAATCATTCTTATAAGTATTACAATCACTCAAATAATTTAACCAAGTACCACAATCATTGAAACAAGGAACAAAAGATAATGAAAACCATTGATCTGGGATCAATTGGCAAAGGTTGGCACTACATTTCATTGCTATATCGAGGATATATAGTCACCATGCAAACATAAATCATACTCCCTCAATTTCTAAATATAAGTCCTTTTAGAGAAAAAAATTCAATACGAACTACATACAGATGTATATAGATCTATTTTAGAGTGTAGATTCACTCATTGTGCTCCGTATGTAGTCTATATTGGAATCTCTAAAAGGACTTATATTTAGGAACGGAGGGAGTAGTTTCCAAAGATGAGATCGACACAGCTGGTGAGGCAGTGACTCAGATTTACATCACCTAGGTATCTACTGGCGAGACACATGCTTATATTTTTCTAAGCCTACCAATCTATATGGTGAACTTCTGGTATATCGCCCATTTCATATCTAAGGCTACTAATCTATATGGTGACCTCATGGTATATCCTGCATCTATAGTGAAAACTGAAAAGGAGCATCTATATGGTGACCTCATGGTATATCCTACACAGAGTGAGCTGCGGCCGGCGGAGGACGATGTGACGCTGCTGCTGCTCCTGCTCGAGGCTGGCCGCCATGGCGCCATGGCGCCATGGCCCCTCTTTCCCCCTTAGAAACAGGACCCTGCTCGAGGCTGGCCGCCATGACACCATGGCCCGAGATCGGACACGCCTGCGCAACGCGAGCCCCGTGCCACATGCGCCTCCTGGCCGGGCCCCGTGCGTGCGCCGCCCGGCCCTGACGGCGCGCTCGTCGTGCTCCACATCCAGCCGCCGGCGGGCTCAACCCCAGCCCCGGCGCTGCTCCACATCCAGCCGCCGGCTTGCTGCGTCTTCTGCCCTTTGGTTAGCTGAATTTCTGACCAAATACGAACGTTTTCGAAAAATTCTGAAAAATTCTGTAGATGTTTGTGTTAGTGTCGCAAGCATGTATAATATTTTTCATGTGAAACGGAGCTGCGGACATTTTAGGGTAACTTTTGGTGTTTAATTTGTCTTCTTGCACAAATCAAAATATTTAACCTTTTTGTCTCAAAATCTGCAAGTAGCATTTGAATGTGACTAAGTACATAAAAAATTTGTTTTAACTTTTTTCATTTCAAAAAAAAAAACAATTGGACCTAGGAGATGTGGGAACTACTCCCTCCGTCCCATAATATAAGAAAGTTTTTAACACTAGTGAAATATAAGAACGTTTTTAACACTATATTAGTGTTAAAAACGCTCTTATATTATAGGACGGAGGGAGTAGATCCTTTAACATATACAAGAGATGTTTGACAAACTACATTATCTTAACTTTCCTTCTGTTAATTCATACAACTAAGGCTAAAATAACTTAAATTAATTTTTAAATTACAGATCTAGTATGCACATTCATAGTAATTACATACAAACAAGTTGATGGTGAGATAAAATTAATTTTGGATTTTTTTATATCTACAGTAATTATCAAAAGTAAATAACCTAATAATAGTCTCTAACATTCCTTCTTCATTTTACATTAGACGAGCACTGTAGCATAGTGACTTCCCTTCTTTAAGTTAGAGGATCCGGCTACAGAGATGTGCTCTCATGAGCCAAATTGACTTTTCGAACAATTGATGCATATACAGACCGTTGCCTTTTTCTGAATTTTTGTGTCAGCAAACAGCTGATATATTGGCTGAAATTGCCATAGCAGTACTATATAAGATGCATTTGACTTTGCATATTCTTTGATGCATGATTTTTATCATTAACATATACGAAAATACATGAATTAAACGTGTATCAACAATACCATCATATTTGTCTGGCAAAACAATTCTGTTTCATATGTCTATAATAATTTGGCATATAATAAATGAAAATTATAGTCAAAGTTATACGACAAAGACCAAAATCAAAGTGCGGCTTATATTTTGAAAAGGAGAAACTATCATTTTATTCATAGCAGCCTAGGCTTATTCAGGAATCGTGGCTACCATCGGTCACAGTCGTAGTCACATGGATCAAGGTGTTTTGGTGCCGAATCAATTTAAACAACGATCTGATTGTTCATCACAAGACTATGCACCCTATGCCTACTGTTAAAGAAAGGGTATATTAATAGAAAATGTTAAATCAAACCTAGATACCGTAATCTGTATGCAGGTATTAGGGCAACTACAACCGGACCCATGGCCGCCATAAACGTCCGGGCGGGCTGCCCGCTCAGTGCCGGACGATTTTTGGCCACCCAACCAAGCTCCCACAGCCGGTCCAAACGTCCGGACTGAACGACACTCCTAATATCCGGTTTATATATGGGGCGAATATGGAGACGTTCAGATGCGCCCGCCACGTCTGACTGATGGATAGGGCCCACATGGGGAAACGAAGAGACCGCTGGTCCGATGAGCGCCTCCTCCACTCCATGTTGCGTGGTGTCGCTTTGGCGTGCCGCCCGAGGAAGGAGGACGGCTATTTAAGCCGGACGGCGGTATCCAAACCCTATATGTCCCATTCCCCATTTCTTCTTTCCCATGCCGCCACTTCCAATCTGCCCGTCGCACTATACCGAGGCGTCGGATCACCACCTACGCCATGCTCACTCTGAAGAGCCGTCTGCAACTGCTAGAGGAGATTAGGGCAAGGCAAGATGCTCATGTCGCTGCGGGCCTTCCTCCAGATTGGCCCGAGCCGGAGGAGGAGGAGGAGGAGCATACGAGGAAGGAAGAGGCAAAGCCGGCTGTGAGCTACGCCATGGCGGACGTGCAGGCGGAGTAAGAGGTTGTCCAAGCGATGAAAATGGCGGAGTAGGCCACCATCCTGGAGTCCATCCAGAATGAGGTCTACGTCGAGGCCAACATGCAGTTCATCCGGCAAGAACAAGCGGCGACGAAGGCGGTGTTCGCCAAACTAGACGCGTAGGCAGAGGGGAGGAGGACCGGAGCCTCCACGGGCGCAAGAGCTGCCGCACTTGCCCGTCTACCCAGCGTTGGCACGGAGATCGTCGACATCTCCGATGATGAGTAGCTTTAGTTGTGTACGTAGCATGTAGTTTTTATCTGCATGACTAGTATGGATTTGATGCTCCGAAGTTTGAGGTTTATGGTTGTGAAAGATGTTTTTGGTGTGTTGCCTGGTCACTATCCGCGGGTGTGTGGAGATGAATTTTGGTCTGCGGTTGTAGATGCTCTAAAGCTTTGCTTCATTGCAGTTAGTGTGTGTATGCAGACTAAAGTGAATTAGCATAGAAAAATTATGAGCCAAGTCCTACAACAACAATGGATTTTATAGCTATTTATATAAATTTAATATGTTTGTTGCTTATGTGAGTGGTGATACATATGCAATTGTGGAGCTAAAAGAGAAGAAGGGCAAAGAATTCAATATATGTGTAGGCATATTTGTTTCAATATGTATGCAGTTGTCGTGCCCAATATAAGATAGTTTTTGGAGCAGTTTGGTGCCCTATTTATAGGGCTGCTGTTGGAGAGAGAAAAATCCAGATGGTGTAAAATGCATTTTTTGATGCCCAATAACAACTTTTTGATACATTATTATAGAGCTGTTGTTGAAGGTGCTCTTACGAACACTTCCTTTCCGGGCATGTTTGGCAAGCTAAGGAAAAGGGAATGTGACTTTACGAAGGAAGCTTTTTGAGGGATTAGACTTAAAAAGTAGATTATTACTCCCGATTCTCTATTTGCTATGCGATGGAATTTGCATGTGGAAAGTTTTGCCGATAAATGATAGATTTTATTGGCTTAAAATGGAGCAACAAGAGGACACACACGCAATAACCACACACGTGGCATCTGTATAGTTAGGATGCACACAACCAACACCAACCCATACACATAAAAAACACACGAGCAGATAGTAAAGTCATGTGTGACCAAAGCTACACGTAGGCGAGGAAAAAAAGTAAAGTGACTAGATTCGCGATTGCCAAACTACAACAATGATCGTATCCACACCAGGCATCTCATGACACCACACAGACGACGAGCTTCTTCAATAGCAAGGCTTTCAAGAAGGGATCGACGCTCAAGTGTTGCCATCACCGGATCCAACCACCCAAAGCCAGAATCTAGATTTTCACCCTGAAGAATTAGTCTAAACATATCTGAGCAATGCCTTCAACAAGGTAATGACATAAAAATATAGTCATTGTGAGGTATAACCAATATGTGTCAAACCTAGGCTTTCACATCAAAACTCAAGATTGATGCCATTTATGTGTATTCGCCATCACTTTTTCGCGATCCGGGCAGGTGCATGCGAAGTGGGCCGCTACCATTGCACAACCATCCATCTGCGTCAAGTCGTCATCCGTAGTTTACATCTTCCTATCAAAGTCAACCATCGGGTCTAGAGAGAGGAACTCTCACGAAGACCTTTCTGTGGCCACAACAATCTGCGGCGAGTCCGCTGCTGCAGGCCGGAGTGGTCGCCATAAGGACCAACCCCGATGGCAGAGCACACTACCGCCGACTACCACCTACCAGAGAGAGCCCTACACAGACTCATCTCCCTAGGCGCCAACATGGTCGGAGCCATAGCATGAAAGTCATATCAATATTGCCCACGCAAAGCGCTGCCGCTGCCAAATCAGGAGCACACAACCGCCAGATCGACGATGCACCTCTTGGTGATTAGACATTTGGATCTGATGTGGCTTGAACTACGCTGGTATTTCCCCAAAGAAGAAGGGATGATGCAGCACAACTACGGTAGGTATTTCCCTCGGTGATGAGACCAAGGTTATCGAACCAGTAGGAGAACTACGCAACATTATGTAAACGGTACCTGCACACAAAGAACAAATACTTGCAACCCGACGTGTAAGAGGGGTTGTCAATCCCTCCCGGGTAAAAAGATAATAAATTTGTAGTATATTGGATAAATAGATCCCACGGAAACGCGAAATAAAATAAATAGCAAAAAATTACAGCAAGGTATTTTTGGGTTTTTGGATTAATAGATCTGAAAATAAAAGCGAATAAAAATAGTTCTCAAAGGAAAATATGATAAAGAATAGACCCGGGGGCCATAGATTTCACTAGTGGCTTCTCTCGAGAAAAATAGCATACGGCGGGTAAACAAATTACTGTTGGACAATTGATAGAACTTCAAATAATTATGATGATATCCAGGCAATGATCATTATATATGCAAAGATTCAAAGTCTTTCTCTCTATTCCCTTTTATTTTTCTCTTTTGGCAAGCATCATGTGGTGAGGAAAGATCTAGGCACATATATCTAGTTGGATATGGGTAGCATGAGTTATTATTGTTGACATCACCCTTGAGGTAATATGTTGGGAGGAGAAATTATAAGCCCATATCTTTCTATGTGTCCGGTTGAAACATTTTGCTCATGTGTATGCGGTGAGTGTTAGAAATCATAGAAAACTATAAGATGGTTGAGTATGTGGAGCTCTTACTTAAACTCTGTTGAATAAGTTGAATTGCAATTGCTTGGTGACTAAGAACATAGGTTGTTGAGTTTCAAGAGAGTTCATTGTTTGAACCTTAACATGTGAATTGGTTGCTACTATAACATGAGAAGTTTTATAAGAAAAAAATTGATGTTATGATGCTAGGAA